AGTTTATTTGCTCTTACAGACTGATAATTCAAGAGGTAATCAAAATACACAGTGAATGTTTAAATTAAAAAAAAACTTATTACAGCAAAAGACACTTTGTCTTTAATCTCCTTCAAAGCACTCCCCTCACTTCAAATACACTTATCCCATCATTCTTGCCATTTCTGAAGCAATTCTGGCAGTCCTCTTTCATGAGTGTCTTCATGAGGTATGATAAAAATAGAACGCGGCCTGCCTTGCAAGAGCAAGGACCCCAGTTCGATCCCCAGTACCAAAAAATAAATAAATAAATAAATAAATAAATAAATAAATAAATAAAATGAATGCTGTCGCCAAGTGCCATCTAATGGAAAGGCAGACTCATAAAAACATTACAGTGTGTCCTCATCCACCTCATTTACCAGATCTGGCACCATGCACCTTCTGGTTCTTTCCCAAAGTCAAAGTGACCATAAAAGGTGATCATTTTGAATTAACAATGAGGCAGCCATGATGGTGCAACTGAAGACATGAAAAATGACTTCCAGAACCGCTTCAGAAAGTGACAAGCATGATGGAATAAGAGAGTCAAAGCCAGAAGGAGTATTTTGAGGGGGATTAATGGAAATGTGTGTCTTTTTTTTTTTTTTGGTACCAGGGATTGAACTCCGGTCCTTGCGCTTGAGCAGCAGGTGGCGAAACCATTGAGCTAAATTCCTGGCCCTGGAAATGTGTCTTTTACTGAAATAATTTTTAAAATTTAGACACAGTGTATTTTTTATCAAACTTCATATTATTGCAATCGTTTCATAAATGAAATAGTTTTTAAAAATAGAGCAAATAAAATCAAAATTCTGACTGTAATATATTTAAAAATTTTAACATTCACTATATTTTTGATCATCCTTTGCACAATTTTTTTTTTTTTGAGTCAGAATCTCGCTATGTAGTTAAAGCTGGACTTGAACTCACTATGTGGCCCAGGCTGGCCTCAAATTCATGGTAACCTTCTTGCCTCAGCCTAGAGTGCTGGGATTCCAGGTGTGTACCATTACACCCAGATCAGTACAGTGGTTATATATAATATTAATGTTAGGGAAAGCTGGATAAAGTCTATATCGGAACCCTATATCATATATTTGTAACGTTTCTGTGCATGTAATAATATTCCAAAGTAGAAGGTTTTATTTAATTGAAAAAATTCAATTTCCTCTATACCACTTATACACAAAAATCAATTCAAACGGATAATAGAAAAATGTAAAAAACAAATCAATAGATCTACTAAAAGAAAATGTAGGAGAATATTTTCATTAGCTTAAGAGGCAAAGATTCCTGAAATATCACACAAAAACACCAATCGTAAAAGAGATGTGGATGTTGGGCTTCTTTGGATTTGAGTGCTAGCATCCAACGCAGTAGTAGTTTAAGTGATATTTTTCATAACTCACCTAGTAATTTCAGATGTGCTGAACTAGAAGGGTTTCTCTTGACCTGTGGTCTGTTACATTTCTTAAAATTTAGATCCAGAACTTATTTCTAAAGGTTGCAACATCATTATTGGAAGCTGAGCCACATAATTAACTTTTCTCTTTGAATTGACCTGAGACTGTTTTTTCTTTGGCCTGAGACTGTTTTTTCTTTGGCCTGAGACTTTTGATCACTCTGAGGATCTTTAATTGGCTTGTGAGACCAGAAATGAGGAAGTCTTGTTTCCCACTTACCCTGGTAGCATATAGTAAGGGCCACAAGGCAAAATTAGAAAAAGGATCCAGATAGTAGAGGGCTGACTGTACTACTTCTGATGTGTATAACTGACTACTTATAAAGCAAGCTACAGGCAGCTATAGCTATTCTTTCAGAGACACAGGACCTTTTCTACCTGCAATCCCTGAAGCAAGTTGCCATTATTCTGCTATCCCTGAAAACTCTGGCTTTCCTATTCAGTTGGCTCTGTTCAGTTTGCAGAGGTCCTTCTCAGGAGGAATTCCTCTTGTATTCTGTGATGTTGCAGAACTCCATGGGAGAGAGGAGAGATAGATAATTTCCCCTTATTTTTCTATACTACTCAAAAAGCATATTGTACATTTGATTGCTTAGTAGCATTGCTGGATAAGCTATAATCTATGTGATTTAGATAGTTCCATTAAAAGGTAAGGCCAGGGATTCGGCTTTAGGCCAGTGGTAGAGTGCTTGCCTAGCATGCATGAGGGTCTAGGCTGAATCCTCAGCATCAAAAAAAATTTTTTTTTAATTAAAAAAACTAAAATATAAAAAGATAAACTAATCACTTCTTTCTTACTTCGCAGATATCTTCAGTACTATTTGTGAAGATTTTTACTATCTGCTGATAAGTTTTTTATGACTGACCAGAAAGTTATCATTTACATCATGACAGACAACTTCTCTAGAATACCCTGGATATCTCTGAATCGCCATGGTACATTCAAAGTTTTCAAATTAAACAAGAGAAGAGATGGTAAGATGTCAGGATGATGCACATGAAAACCTTCAGAGAACACATTGTGGATCATATCCAGTATGAAGTTGACTTCCTTTTCAGCATGGATGTGGACCAAGTCTTCAGAGGCAGATATGGTGTGGAAAGCCTAGGAGAGTCAGTAGCTCAGTTACATAGTGTTTGGTATCAGGAAACTCCTGACGTGTTTCCTTATGAGAGAAATGAGTCATCAGAAGCTTATATATCCATGGGTCAGGGAGACTTTTATTATCATGCTGCTGTTTTTGGTGGTACTCCCATCCAAGTTCTCAATATTGTCAGGGGGTGCACCAAAGGAATCATGAATAACAACAAAAATAACACTGAAGCGGTGTGGCATGATGAAAGCCACTTAAACAAGTACTTCTTTCTTCATAAACCCACTAAAATCTTATCACCAGAATACTGCTGGGATTACCTTCTCAGAAGGCCTCCTTACATTAAAAGTGTCAGACTTTCTTGGAATTTTAAGAATTATGAACTTCTTAGAGGAAAGCAATAATTTTATAGTTCTTTGTATTTCTAAATTTCAGAGCATCATTTTGCCTTATTCTTTAGAAAATTGGCACTTAACAAAAAAGATTACTATCAACATTACAAGCCCACCAATACAGTAAAGTCATGCTTTTCATCACATTAATTTTGAATCATATAACTTGAGATATAAGTAGTTGAAGAATGAGTTTACTAAAATTAGATGGAGATGCAGTAATTTTACACCTTGTATAAATGTTGAGGAAATATTATTTGTTAGATTATATCAGAATAGAATAGACTATACAAGACACAAATGAAGCTTAACATATTTTAATTGATCCAAAGAGATTTAAATTCCTCATGTTACTTAAGGAAAGGGGTTGTCTGTAGGTATGAGGAAAGGAAGATTTCTGCAACAGTATAAATATGGCCTATAGGTAAAACTTTGAAGATGTTAAAGTTGCCACTAGATGGGCTGTTATTTAGAAAACTGAGTCATTCAAAAAGAACTGCTTTATGCTTTAAAACTACAATTGTTTTTTAAATAAAAACTAATGAAAATAAAAATATATAGAGAGAAATTTGAAAGTTGCCCTTTATTCTCCCTTTGAGAACATATCCATTTTTATGTGCATTTATAAAACCAAATTCAGAGTCTGTGTAACACTGGCTCTGCCAGAGTGAGCAGAAAGAAGACAAGTCAATAGTTGTTTGGAGACAGACTTCTTCTCTTTCTATGATGGAGCAGAACCAATGTGCCACCACTAGCCAGATGGCCCCTCAGAAGAAAGATGCCATGGGAGCTATTTAGAGTGACCTTTGCTGTTGGTAGGTTGGATATCAGCAGTGGAGACAGCTATGTCATCACTGATGAATGGAAGGCTAGCTTATTGAGGTCAGGCACAGAATCCATCCCTGTCACCAAAGCCTTTCTACACAGTCCCATTGAGCAAGCACTCTGGTGGCCATAGAATGAGGATAGCTGATCTTACCGAATAGATCATCTCATTTTTCTCAATTATTTATAGCCTCTTCTACTGAGATTGCTCTTTGGTGAACATGCTTATAGACACATATATCTTTAAACTTCAGAAACACATAAAGGACTTCAACTTTCTTGTCATCAATTTTCCAATGTCGAGTCCAAACTTATATAAGCTATTTCCATTTCAATGGATTGTGGATACACAGTCCACGCTTTATTTTGTTGAACCAGAGAGTTGTAAGTTCATGATGGTAGGGCAGGTCATAGCTCCACTAAATTTCCCATAAATCAGGTATTCATTGTCTACCTTAGCCATGCAAGATGTTCTATCCAGTATCTGTATTTGTCATTTAAATATGCAAGGTGACGTAGACTTTTCTCCACAGACTGGACCTTCCATAGAGCTTTCTATTGTTCTAGGCCTTACTTAAAATTGACCAGAGTACAAGTTGCTCAATAAATTGTCAGAGTGGCATACCCAAATGCAGTATATGTTGCCTCCAATATCCAGAGTCCCACTGAGCATGGCACTTCTGATTTAGTAAAAAGTGGTGAAAGGTACTAGATCTGGTCTACACGGATATGCTCACACGCTTCTCAAAATGTAATTTATATGTCAGGCCCCCGAGATTTTGTGGGGCCTTTTTTCCATCTCTTGAAATACATTTGCATTGGCATGACATCTGGGATTCTTGCCATTTTCTCCTCAAATGATCCAATTGGCATGATGTCAACAATGATAAAGATGTCCAAATGATCAAGGGCTCTGAGTTAACATATCTGAGGTCTACTGATGTCTCTGCCAGGTGAAAGCAAACTGCTTTTGATAATCATATTCTAGGAATTTAACCTGCAATGTTGTTCAACATGTGCTCATTCAGCATGTTCAAGCATTTTACTTTGGCACTTCTTATAATAACTAAGAGGGTAAATGACCAAAATGGCTAGCAATAGAAAACAGATTAAATATATTATGATATATTTATGTAATAAAATACAGCCCAACAGTAGAAAAAGAATGAGCCACACTGGTATGAAGTATAATGAATGCAATGATGTTCAAAATATAGAAATAACTCCAAGAACTCTGAAGGAAGCTCCCAGCCTCCATCCTAGGCTCCTAGGGCAGAAAAGCTCAGCCGGTCCCAGCACCCGGAAGGAAGCTCCCCCACTGCCATCCCGAGCTCCTAGGGCAGAGAAGGTGAGCCGCGTGGGCACCAGAAGCACCCTCTCCCGTGGAAATGAGAAGACACATAAACAAGTCTCAAAAACAGACTTCTGGATCACTTACAGGAACCGCAGAGGGAAAGGAGATGGAACACTCTGCTACTCAACCACCTGGACTCTCTGAACTGGCAACAAAAGAGGATCTGGGAAAAATGAAATCAGAAATAATTACTCAGATAACAGCAAAGATTTTGCGCATGGTGCAAGACATGATTAATAAATCTA